TACTTATTTAAAGACGTCTGGTTCTCGTCTCCCCTAAAGGGCTGGCCTGCCCCTCATGACCTATCTATAGCGCAGAAGGCAGACAAAGGACAAAGCAGCAAATCATGCGTGCTCTACTCCAGGTGGGTTGGCATGGTGACCGTGACCCAGTGCTTCGTCCAGGGCGCTTTAGATGGCAACGCCCTCTCCGTCTAGATGCTCCATGTGAACAATGGCGACTCTCAAGGTTGAGCGCACTCGACTCCTCACATGAGAGGACTCTCAAGACATAACACACATCCTCATGGTAAGAAGTGTCAAAGAGGGTAGATAAGGTCAAGAGCAACGTACCTCAAAATAGCTTCCCCCAACCACAAATATTCTCACCAGATGACCTAACGTCGATTGCGATGACCAATCATTGCCTTGGCACAACCAGCATTATACCGCCGTTCCACCTCAGCATCAATCGCACATCAGATAGTTCGCATCACACTGCGAAACACCCAATATCACCACACAACCTTCCTGGCGATACCCCTCCATTTGGGTCGCCTGCTTGCCTTCACCCTCCTCACTGCAAGCTACCCGCGGTTGCTCACTCAGGTACCCGCGTGCATACACTGTATAAGCAGAAGACAAGCGCCAGATGAGCGCAACGTACCACAACTCCGATACCAAAATGCAAGGAAAATGGGCGATAGCGAAATTTAGAAACCAAGCAGCATCATACATATGAAACCAGATAGTCCTGACCTCGAACCAAAAACAGAATTGCAACTCGAGTTACACCAAATAAGAGCACAGCAGAGCTCACAAATGACAATGTTGGAATAGCCTCTTCATCATCACCAATGAACCAATGTCGTTCCCCTAACCAGCGCTCACAAAAGCGCAGAGACACTTCCCCAACCACCCAGGAGGCCCAAGCCAATTATCTCAACTGGTGAACCTGAGGCTGCTCACAGGGGGGCGTGCAGGATTGAATGGATGATGGGGGCAATTGAACCCACGACATCCTGAATACCACTTACGTGCTCAACCAGCTGAGCTATCCTGCTTGGGCGCCTGTGCCCCCGACTTTTTTTTTTTTTTTTTTTTTAACAAATGGAACCTTGGTTCCGGCTCCTTATCCATTCTATGGAGCATCAGTCCGGTTCCTATTCCACCGGCAAGTCAGAAAAGATTACAATGATTACTCACTCACACTCCTCCCCCTTATGGTGTGGAGGC